GGGGAACATACGCTTTCAGTTCTCTTGGATAATATACCTAGGAGTGAGTCATATAGCAATTGCATGCTCAACTTTCAGAGAAACCTATTTCAAAGTTGCTGTACATTTTATATCAAGACATTTTGACACAATATTTTTACTATTATTTGGATCTGCGTATTTTAGAATTTACTTTTATAATTATGACTTTGTAAGCCCAACAATTGTTTTTAGAAGTGGTTTATAATATCCAAACTAAGAAGGCTTTCCTAGTTACTCTTCTTTTATTAGTGACTTCCTTAATTGGATTACATGATCAGGGAAAGTTGATTGAAACATTTGAAATCCGTTGATAGCTTTATGACTTATTACTATGGTTACTGATCAGAAGGTTCTACACGTGCTTGATATTATAGACAGCTAAGTTAGGTAGAAATACTACAGGCAGTTGGATAGGGCTGGGCCCTTGAAAGAGTCAGTGCAAGATGAAAACTAATTACCACTGTGTCTGGAGGCACATCTACTGGAGGCCAGGCCTACAATAAAATTTTTTTTTTGAGACAACGTCTCATTATGCAGGTCAGGCTGCCTTAAGCTCGTTTTGTAGTCCAGGCTGGTCTCAAACTTGCAACAATCTTCCTGCTTCAGCCTCCTAAGTGCTGGGATTACAAGCATGAGTCATCATGCCTGGCAAACTAAATAAATTGTAACACCTGGTCTAATAAAGTCTATATAGACCAGGGATTTAGCGCAGTGGCACAAGAGCCTGCCTGGCAAGTGCAAGGTTGTGAATTCGATCCCTAGTACAGAAAGAAAAGAAAGAAAAGAAAAGAAAAATCTACATAGACATCAGTCACCTTGGTGGTCACCAAAACCCTTGGACTCATTACTTCCTAAAAAGCTCTTTGTTCTTTCCATTTCCATGTACACTTGCTAGATGACTTGCTCACTGGATCAATATGATCTGAGCAACTATACTTGATCACACTCTTAACCCACATTTTACCTATGTGGTTGTGCTCCATAAAACTTTCTCTGAAAAGTGGGGTTCTTGAGAACCTACTTAGGTCCCCTCCTGCCTCTCAGGACCTGAGGATCATTTTAAGTTTGAGACTAGCCTGGACTGTATAACAAGTTCAAGGCTAGCCTGAACTACACAGCAAGACCCTGTCTGAAAAAAAAATTAAATTTGGTAAAATTACAATATTAAAAACAAAGATAATCTCAAAACTTTTCACTTCTGCTTATGTTACTTACACCCGCTGTATCCGTATGGCAGAAGTACTATATAATGGTGTGCTACTAGATACCTTTTTCCAAATTCCTGTTCAGTGATATCCTATTGGTAGCTTGAAATCAGTAGTGACAGGAGTATTGACAAAGAAGCCAGCATATACCAAAATATGATCTTTACATTTAAGAAACTGATGGGTAAACCGGGTGTGGTGGTGCCTGTAGTTTTAGTACTCTGGAAAGCTGAGGTGGAAGGATAACAAATTCAAACAGCCTAGGGTATTTAGTGACTTAGTGAGACACAGACTCAAACAGTAAAAACAATAAAAAAGGTCTGAGAATGTAGCTCAGCATAAAGGCACTCAGCTCAGTCCCTAGTACAAAAAAGAGAGAGACCAAAGAGAGAGAGAGAGAGAGAGAGAGAGAGAGAGAGAGAGAGAGACAGAGAGAGAGAGACAGAGAGAGACAGAGACAGAGAGAGAGAGAGATAATAATGCAGAACTGTATGTTTTGTCTTTAGTCTCTACATTGTGAATTTAAAAATTAAGGAAAATTCTCCTAGTATTAGAAAAGTATTATCTGTTTCAGCAAAATAAATTGGTCACAACAGGAAAGTGGAATTTTAACATACATCTTGGATATTTTTACTTTTATCTTACTCATAAATATAAACAAAAATATAAACCAATATTCTTGGTTGGAACCACAATCATAGACTGGCTACAGAGCTAGAGTTCAGCAGAAACTAGTGAAAGTATTCTGGAAGAATCTGTTATCCATGAAGAATTTATGGTAAAGAGCATATTCAATATAAGTGTGTGTTACAGTTGATGTCAGTAAAATTTAAAATATATAATAAGCTTAATCACACGCATTTACCCCCAAGAGCAGATTCACTGTTTATTGTACAGGACTGGCAGACAGAATTCCAGTCACAAGACCAGTAAGACCCTCTGCAAGGTCCTTCCCAAGGAAGGATAGCCGGTGATTGGGAAGGCCAGCAGTGGCTGGTTGCTGATCCTTGAAGAACTCTTCTACAAGCAGTCTTGTGTTGGAGCTCTCTTTTAAATCGGCTGAGACTTTCTCAAAGATGCACTGAAGTTTGAACCTTTCTTTACAAACTGTTTTCCATTCCTTCTCGTTTCTAACATGTTTAACGGTGTCTTGCCCTGAAGATTTTTTCTACTGTTCTTTTCCAACAACAAACCTCCTGTACTTTTAATTCCTTCTTGGTGTTGGCTTTGGGGGAGACCCAAACTGACAGTCAAGAATATAATAAAATTAAAAGAAAAAACTCAAATGTCCATGGCAGATTAATAGATAAACAAATAGATATATTTAAGAAAATAGATACTAGCCAGGTGTGGTGGTGCATGCCTGTAATCTCAGCATTTTGGGGGGTTGAGGTAGGAGGATCATTACAAATTCAAGACCAGCCTGAGCTACAAAGTGAGTTCAAGACCAGCCTGAACTGCATAGTGAGACCCTGTCTCAAAAAACAAAACAACAACAAAAAACCAAATGACAACAAAAAAGAAAATAGATATTTAAAACATGTAAAGAAAATAACAGTACAGAATAAATTTAAAAGTATTTCTCATCTTTAAAAAAAGTATTTCTCATCTCTATTATAGTATCAATAACATAAAAAATGAGCAAATTCTTCCAGTATTAAAAATTATTTCAGCAAAGTACTATTGAGTTGAACAGGAAAGATTATAGGGATGAACCTTTTTTGTTTGTTTTTTGACATAGGGTCTCGCCTTATAGTTTTGGCTGGATTTGAACTCACCATATAACCCAGGCTGGCAGCCATCCTCTGCCTCCTACCTAATTATAATGTGGTGAATTAAAAAGAAAAAAAGAGGCAGGAATGGTGGCACACATCTGTAATAAGCCGCGCAAAGGAAACAGTATGGGGCTGTGGATGTGGCTTATTAGCAAACCCTAGAGTGTGTGAGTCCCTCGTTTTGAAACGAAATAAAACACTGAAAAGAAAGAAAGGCAAAAAGTGCTGAGAACAAAAAGAGTATTCTACATGTTTCTATTTATATAAATTGTAGAACAATTGGGGTAGAATGGAACAGATTGGGAAAGGAGTATAAGGAATCTTTCTGAGACTGGAATTGTTCTATATCTTAAGGGTATGATTTCATGGTTGGACACAATTTCAGAATCCCCTGAAGTGTGTATCAAGATTAATTCACTGTCCTATATAAATTTCTATCTCAATACGAAAATGCAAAAACAATTCTTCCTATGACTATGCCAGATGTTACTTTCTCTTACCGCTCTGCCCATGCCTGCTACATATACTTAAAGGCTATCTTATTGCATCTTTGCAAGTTTAGAATACTCCTGGTGAACTGAAACTTTCTAGTTCTACATACACGTGTCCTGCATACTCATTTCCCTTATTTGACTGTTTCATTTTAATCTAACTTATTTGCAGTGTTCCAGCATGTGGACTTGTTTTGCAGAAATTTTTTGCGTTGGGCTTGCATTAAACCCCAGCAGCGGCACATGCAACCACAGAACTAGCTGTATGTTACTGACTCCAATTTGATACCCGGTCACTAGGATGTCTATATCTCTTGGGCTTCAGCTCAGAATCAACCAGCTTCTGAAAAGCAATTGTTTGGTCAAAACAAACAGCAGCCTGGAGGAGATGGAGAATTTCATAGATGCTCAAGTTCCAGACAGATGAACAAGAAAGACTTGTTAAGAAGGGCTCAGACCTCAGGGAGGGTTCTATAGGAGACTCACCACATAACGCAGAAAATACTGTAACTTTTCATTGGTGACAAGAAAAGGCAGCTTCGGCCTTAGGAAGTAGAGGCTTAGCTTAAATAGCAGGTGGTCGACTTTACAAAGTCAGCTATTTCGAGTGTGGGTCTTTCATACGGGCAGGTACAAAGGGAAAGCACTGTTTGAAGCACATGAATCCCAAGTGGGCATTCGTGATGGTGAGGTGGAGGATGTTGCATCTGTGGTCAGCATTGGGTTCTCGTGGCTCTACTCCTGCCATCCCCACAGTGATGAACCCAAGGCAAAAGCCGCCTTCTTATCGCCTGCACTCACTGAAGCGAGCGCCAGGCACCACCCAACTGTGGGCGTTTTTTAGTCACGTCCCAAAAAACGCGGGAGGGATAACTAGTATCTTCTTTCTGATTGGTTGACTCCTGCAAGTTCCCAAGTCCATAGGAAGCGACCGTGTCACACTTCCGGTGTCACGGGACACAAACGCTGCCACTTTTTCAGAAGCTGTCACGCAGCACCACCTACTTCTCGCCACCTCCGCTGCGTCTCTTAACATGTTATTTCAGTTAATAAACATGCACCGTTTCTTAAAAAAAAAATGAGTTTTATTTGTATAATATAAGAGGTCTGTGTTTAGGGCGCTAAACGTGGAGAAGGGAAAGAAGGTTCTTGTTCGGCCCGCCAGTCTTCTAAATCAGCAAAAAGACTCAGTACCAATTCGCATTATCCAGTAAATTGGATATCAATTTGTATACTGGTAATAATTACAACAGTTGCTAATAGGACTGTCATTTCAGCGACTAGCTTGAAGATGGAAGTATTCTTTGGCTGTCTTGGTAGTCATTTGTATAGCTACAATCATATTCCTAGAATGCCACGTTGAGCTGCAGTTTTCTATTATAAAGTCTTATTACTTTGACAACTTTTTTTAAAGACAGTCTTGCTAATGAAAATAAGTTAAATGGATAACTTTGGTTTCTGATCGCGTTTGAGGCTTTGGTATGCCTTTTGGTCTCTCGCGGCTCCTGTAGCATCCCTAGTAACCGCGACCCTGGTAACCGCCCGCCAGGAGCTGCCAGGTCGCCTGAGGCCGAGCCAGCTCACCTGCCCCGGGCCAGCGCTGGCGCTTTGGCCTCGGAGGTGGGGTGATGGCCGCCTCACACCGGCAGGCCAAACTGGCAGCCGCTAGTCTCCACCTGCCGGTAAACCCCAAGACCGGAGCGCGGGTCGCCCAGTACGAACGTGAAGATCTCTTAGAGGCCCTGGCGGCGGCAGCCTCGCAGGAGGAGGATGAGGTGTTGCGACCGGGGCGTCTGTAGTGCGAGGGCGGGACGTGGGCTGGGGCTGGGACTGGTCGCCGGATGAGTGCGGTTTAGAGGTGGTCCAGGTTACCGCCCAGCGAGGACAAACTAGAGACGTGGTGCTTTGTGCAGACCCTCCCTACCTTGTGATCCTGGTTCTACCGCCTTGTCTTTGCCCCTTCGCGCCTCCGAAAAAATACTCAAACCGAGAAAGTTTGGTTTGCTTGCTCTTTCTTTCTCTTTCTCTTTCTCTTTCTCTTTCTCTTTCTCTTTCTCTTTCTCTTTTTCTTTCTTTCTTTCTTTCTTTCTTTCTTTCTTTCTTTCTTTCTTCCTTCCTTCCTTCCTTCCTTCCTTCCTTCCTTTGTGGTACTGGAAATCAAACAAAAGTTTTCTTTACTAAACAGATTGTAGTGAAACTTTGTTGGAGAGGATTTTTTTTGCTGTTTCTAGAGTGCAACGTGCGGAACCCTTACTCTCCACCCACCGGCATCTGTTGGGAACAATTTTTTTTCCACATTAAGGAAGACTGGTCTATCCCACAGTAAATAATGTAAAAATTCAGGTAAATCAACTGGGCCCTCCGGGGTTGTTTTAAACTTTGTGGTTATCAGCAGATTTTTAGCACAGTACATTAGGGTTAGATGTTTAAAACCATGGAGAATCCAGTGGATGGATCAGATGCAGATACAGATAAGCATCTAGGCAAGCAAATTACTGAGATCCCAGTGTTTCCTAGGGGTCTTCAGGGACTTTTTGCAAAAATCAATTTTTCAGTGTCAGATGTGTTTTGCACACCTGTACAGCAGGTGGAGACCAGAGTCTGCCATCTGGTCTATTCATTTAGAAGATGAGAAGCTTGAATTTTGCAGTGTAAGTCTCTTTATGCCCACTTAATCAATACCATATGTCCATATGTTTTGCTTAAATACAAAACACTGTAGTTCAATGTGCTGGGTGTGGTAGCACACGCCTCTAATCCTAGCACTTGGGAGGCTGAGATAGGAAGGTCTCTGAGAGTTCGAGGCCAACCTGGGCTACAAAGTGAGTTCAAGGCCAGCCTGAACTGTATAGTGAGACCCTGTCTCAAAAAGATAAAAAACAACACCAAAAATACCCAAAGCATTATGATTCAGAGTTTTTAAAAATCACCGACTACTTTGAAATTCTAGACTCTGTAATCTATACTAAAATTGTCAAGGAGAATATCTGTAGCAAGTCTTTTATGGCCAGTATTTTACCAACAGGCAGACAACTTGAGGGTATATAGAATAAAGCAGATTTGAGACCCTGAATGTGAATCAGAATTGGAGTTCTAGAACCACTTGCACACATGAGAAAGCTACATTTCACATAATTTGTAGTAGGTGCGTGGCAAGTGTGAGGTCCTGAATTGGATTCCCGGTCCCTACGAAACAAAACAAAACAAAACACAGGTAGCAAAAGAGACAAAATGATAATGGAAAAAGATTTAAATGAAAGAATTTGGAATCCTGGATTAGAATCTATTTTTCTTTTTTTAGGATGTATTTTTTGCTACTTGCTAGGTGCGATTAGGATGTGACTTTCTTAGAACTCAGTTTCCTTATCTGTAAAAGTACTATAATAATTGTTTCTCTTTCATGTCTCACTCATCTGTTAGAACCGAATGAAAGAATGTATGCCGTATCTAGAGAGCACTTTATATAAATTAGCACTAATTATAGTAACTGCCAATGGGACAACTTGCTAGAAAATCAATTTTTACTTTGGTCTGTGGTGATAGTTGTTTGTATAGTTGTAATTATATTTCCAGATAAGGAGACTGGTTTGGAGGCTGTTGTGATAATTTAGGTGCCAGAGGCAGTGATTTGGACTTCAGGGGCCTGGGATGAGGGCAAGACATGGAAGATCGTTCTCGAATGTTAGGACATACTTTGGTTCAATGTAAAGGCCAACTAGAAGGAAAAAATCAAGGAGGCTTATTCCCAGGTTTCTGGTTTGAACAGCTGTGTGGAAGGTACATATTGCTGAATTAGAGACTACTGGGAGAGGAGTAGATCTGAGGGATGAGTGGAAATCAAGGTTTTAGTTTTAAAAATGGTAAACTTGAGATGTCTGTGGAACCATGTAGAAATGTCTAGGAAGAAGTTAGGCCTATGGAGATCTATGGGGCCGGGGCTGAAAAAGTACCGGGATCAAACAACCTCACGCTTGCCAGGCAGATCCTTATGTCACTGAGCTAAACCCCCAGCCCTGGAAATTTATGTTTTCAGCATTTTTAAAACTGTAGCAATGAATAAAGTCACTTAGGGAGAGCACTGAGGAGGCAGAAAAGGCTGCTATAGAGTTCTTAAGAACCACAACATTTAGGCTGGCTGTGCAGCCTAAATCCCAGCACTCAGAAAATCACAAGTTTCAAGGCTAGCCTGGACTACATAGCAAGACCCTGTCTCAAAGAATAGAAAACAAAACAAAACCCTCCACATTTAACAGGCAGGTAGAGCAGCCAGGCGGAGGAGCAGCCACGGTGGTGGGGTAAATATGCAAGAGTGTGGAGGGTCCCTCATTCATTGTAGCAATAAGGGGGAGTGTCGCATGCTGCGTTTCATCCCTGGGGATAAGAAGCCCAAGCAGGAAAGTTCGGTAGATAAGGTGAAAGGACGTCCTTCTGATGGTTTCTGTTTTCCTAAGAAATAAAAATCAAGGATTACAAAGCATTTGGATGGTGGAGGTGGGTGCAGTTAGAGGAGCGAGGGAAAGGTGAACAGAATTGCTGGAGAGGTGGCAGCGTGCCTGCTGGTTAGGTCAGGTGTCCACTAGACATTACTCAGTGTTTAGTGCAGGATTTATATCCACAAAACATCTTTTGTCTTTTTGCAAACTTACAAAACCAGCCTGAGCAACATTGCTGAGACAGTTGTTTCTTAAAAAAAAAAAAAAATCAGATGTTACATAAAGGCTTTAAGTCCTGCTTCTCCCAAAAAGAAAATGTGGATACCCACTCTGTCCCCAGTGGTAGCGGCTGTTTGAAATTGTTATATTGTTTATTCTTCTGAGCTTTTTTCCTATTTTAATATATGGTAACATGTTATAAAAATATAGATGTACCATTCTGCAGCTGAGTTTTTCTCTTTTTATTATTGGGGCCAGGGGTGGGGTAGCCATGTTAGTACGTGTAGGTCTGCCTCATCGCTAACAAATCCTTTCCAAAGGAAAAAAATTTAAGTAAAAATTTCAGAGTTGCAGATACAACTCAGAACATTCCTATGGGTACTGCTACTAATGAAGCAACAGATGCCAGAAGCTTCATTATCTAAGTGGGTCAAGCCATTCTCAGGAAGATTATCTTCTGATCAAGTGACAGCATTTACAGTGCTCCACAAAACCCAAGATGATTAAAAGGAGAAAAAGTTATATCCATGCCTATGTTGATATACTACATGCTTTCTGAGTGTGGACAATTTAAGATGAAATTAGAATTGGAAGTCTTTTTTTTTTTTGTCTTTGGAAGCCAGTCTCTCACTATGCAGTTCAGGCTGGCCTTGAACTCACTTTGTCGCCCACACTGGCCTCAAACTTCCAGAGACCTTCCTGCCTTAGCCTCCCAGGGCTGGGATGACAGGCATGCGCCACCTCGCCTGGTTTGGAAGTCATTTCTTAGTTGTGTTTGTTTTAGGTAAAACTCTGTGACATCAGTTTATCTGGAAAGCTCTATCTTGTGTTAACATTATTAAGCTGAACATGGAATTAGGTATTATGCAAATGTATTATTTATCAGATCGGCCATGTCTCTTTAAAAGCTATTCATCTTTCTCGGTCTTTTTCAAATATAGTGGTACCTCAATTCACAAACTTAATTCGTTCCACAGTTCTGGAAAAGATGGCCATGGCCATAGTCATCACCTGATGCAGTTTAGAAACAAAAACAAAATTTTACCAAATGCTTCAAAAAGTGTTCTTGAATCGAGGCACCACTGTAATTTTTCCAGGTCAAAAGTACATTTGATCATTTTTGTTTCACTGATTGAGATAAAACTTTAAGAAATATTCTGTAAGAATAAATGAGAACACATGGAGGCTTTTGCCTAAAATAGTTCTTTGAAATAACCTTCCGAGTTTTAAGTACAGTTTTCAGTCTTTTCCTTAATATTCAGTGGAATGAATGCAGCTCTTTAATTAGTATTCTCTGCATGATTCAGTCACATGTAACTATTCTCTTCATATGGAGAAACCTGTATTTTTTTAATTGTACATTTATTCATTCAACAACTACTTATTGGACATTTGCCACTGATCAGAGCCTTTTCGAGACACTGGGAACACATGAGTGAAGCAGACAAATCTCGTGTTTGCAAGACCTGCCTTGTGGGAGGGCAGGCGTTCAACACATGGTAGTTGAATACTCCTGGGAAAATAAAGCAGAGGAGGGAGGACAGCGAGGGGAGGGAGACGTCGTGATTTCAAATAGGATAGTAAATGAAGACATGTTGAGAAGCTGACATTTGGGCAAAGACCTGAAGGGGTGAGTTCAGTCTGCTGTGCAGATTTCTGGGGACCAGCATCCTAGCGAGAAGAAGCAACAAGTGCTGATTCTTCAGGCTGCAAACTGGACCCACCAGCAATGGTGAGGAACACATTACAGAAATAGCAGAAGACATCAGAGTTCTCTTACATGATTTATATAACATACATTAATCAACTTTTTTATCATAGACTTGTTTGTCTAACAAATTTGGACATATCAATTCTTTTGAAGATAATGTTTCCTTTTATTTGTTTTCTCCAAATTCCCCCAAATAGTGCAACACTGGCCTCTTGTACGCTGTTATTATTCCATAAAGAAACTCACGTCAATAGCTACTTTTTTTGTGGTACCGGAAATTGAACTCAGGACCTCACGCTTGCCAGGCAGGCACTGGGCCACTGAGCCATATCTCTCGCCCAATGGCTATTATTTATAATTGACTTTTCTGAATTTTCATATTGAGAGAAGGTAAACATTTGTTTTTCTAGAGTCTTGCCTGATTGAATCTGTAATTTTCTATCACACATATACTTTTTAAAATTTGAGTTTATTCCAAACAGCAGGCTAAATTTACAACCGTGGTTAACAGTCTTTTATACATAGTGTCATAGGTAACTTCAAGTTTCTCAGTTGAGAACACATTAAAGTTTTATAAAGAAACAGGTTTTATCTCAGTTGTATATGCACTTTTTCTGTACAATATATACATACATACAACTATGTATATACATACAACTATGTATATGCAAAACCGTCTTTCCTCTGTTCTCACTCTCAAAGTCTGTGTCACCTATGGGAATTACTACTCTTATTGTCCCCCAGGGAAGATTGCTCTAAAGCCAAGCATGGTGACACATGGCTATAATTTCAGCACTCAGGAGGCAGAGGCAGGAGGATTGCCTTGAGTTTGGCGAGTTCATGAGTTCAGGCCAGCCTGAACTGTGTAGCAAGATCCTATCTCAGAAAACCAAACCAAACAAACAAAGACTGTCCTGAAAATTCCCTCAACTCCCCTCATGGCCTCTTAGTCCCTTCTGAGGTCTCATCCGACACACTTTCTTAAAAATCCATGGAGAATTTTGTCCCTGACTCTCATCCCCTGCTCTGGCATACCTTGGGAGTCACTGCAGAATTCCAGCTCAAGGAATGGCACTGGCCCTGCGGTTTATAGCAGGAGGAACTGTGTCCCTCTTCATCTCAGAAGGAGGCTCATTGTAGAAACTACAAGGTGATCTGTACCAGGTGAGCTGGTACGTGCTTGTAACCCCAGCCACTCAGGAGGCTGAGGCAGGAAGATCAGAAGTCTGGCAGCCTGGGCAGCTTAGCAAGACTCTGTCTCAAAACAAAGTTTTTAAAAGGGTGTGGAAATGTGGTTTAGAGTAGAGTGCTTGCTTGCTCAGTGTGTACAAGGCCCCTGTCCTCTATACCAGTATCAAAGACATAAAAAGTAGTCTGGTTCCATTCTCCTATAATGTAAATAATTCTTGTTGGTTCATTCAGGAACTCAACTACCCATGATAAAATTAAGTATCATTTTCTGGCAATTTGATCTCACTTTCCCTTGTTCTTAAAGAAGAGGAGAGGAAAGTGTACACAGCCCTCAGGTAACACCTAACAAGGTGCAGACCCTTTGTGAATCAGCACCTGGATCAGTGCCAGTTTAACGTCTTTGATTCCAAACACCGTGTAACAGGTTTTTCTCCTGACAGGATGATTCTGACACCGACTCTTCTCTGGAAATAAGTATAAACTATGATGACATCATGAGCTTTTCTGACATGTGTCACTCCAATAAAGAGTATTTCAAGAAGCTGGAAGAGCTGAAGGCGGCTCACATAAAAACTATGGCAAAATTAGAGAAAATGTACTGGAATAAATTAAACTTAAAGGACGTTCAGCCAGTGACTGTCAGGGAAGATGTTCCTAGCAACTCTTCCAGGTAAGTTTTCTGTGTCATTGTGGACCATAAAATCAAATGTGCACTAAAAATGTGGAACAAAATTACTTTAGAATATTTTCTCTTAAATAACCTTTCGTGCTTTTAATAATACACAAAAGTATAATTTTATTCAACATGTTTTAATGACTTACTGGTTTACTAGGTGACTTCTTTCTTTGAGGTCATTTGGTGGCCATTTGGTTTTTCCTTTTTTTTTTTTGGTCTTTTTCGTTTTTTATCGGTACCAGGGATCGAACTCACGACTGCCTGCTTGCAAGGCAGGCGCTTATGCCGCTGAGCTAAATCCCCAGCCCCGGTTTTTCCTTTTTGATGAACTACTCACAGACCTGTAGATATGTGTCAAAAAATTCCTGAGGATTTAGCTCGATGGCATAAGGCCTGCCGAGCAAGTGTGAGGCCATGAGTTCCATCCCGGGTACCAAAAAAAAAAAAAGTGTAGATTGTGTCATTTTAAATGATATATACCAAAGTTTAATTTTTTTTTTTTTTTTGTCTTTTTCGTTTTTATTGGTACCAGAGATTGAACTCACGACTGCACACTTGCAAGGCAGGTGCTTATGCCTCTGAGTTAAATCCCCAGCCCCCAAAGTTTAATTTTAAAAGCCCATTCTGATATGTGGGTTAACGTGAACTCATTAAACTTATAGTCTAAAGATGCTGGTTTCAGTGGTACAGGCCTATAATTCCAGCTACTTGGGAGGCTGAGGCAGAAAGGTCTCAAGTTCAAGGCCAACCCAGACAACTTAGCAAGTTGTTTTAAAAATTAAAAATAGCTGGAAGTATAGCTCAGTGATAGACCCTCATATATCTATATATATCTATAATATATATATTTATAAAATATGTGTTATAGATAAATATTTTATATATTTACATATCTATATATATTCTATATATATTGAGAGAGCAACAGAGAGAGAGATACATACCAGTATAGTATAGCTGATACCGGTACCATATCAGGTATAGTATATACTGTGTGTGTATTCAATAATACCTAGGTTCATGAACACATCTATTCACAATTTAGTTCCCCAACAAAAGCTTTCAATAAAGTTTTCTGTTCAAAAACTCCACATTGGATGACAAACACAACTGCAGCCATCTTCCCCAGAAACATAAAACAAATTAAGTTCATGAACCGAATAAATTAAGTTCAGTTCACTCAACAGTTCTGGTTGCAAACCGAACTGAATGATAACCAAATCATATTCAAGATTAGGTTCAGTGTTCACCTTATAGGGGAATTTTTTTGCAGAATTATGGAAAAAACCAAGTTTGTGAACATATATGTATATATATAAACTTTGTATATATATATACACACACTAACATTTAATTTTGATATGTGGATTAACATGAACTCATTAAACATATATGTATAAGTTTATATATAATACATATTTACTGAAATATATATACATCTACTAAACTTTAATTTTACAAGCCCATTCTAATTGTGGTTTAACATATTAGATATATGTTATGAGCCAGGCATGGTAGCACATGCCTATAGTCCCAGCACTTAGAAGGCTGAGGCAGGAGGATCATTGTGAGTTTGAGACCAGCCTGAGCAACAAAGTGAGCTTAAGGTTAACCTGAACTGCCTAGTGAGACCTTGTCTAAAAAAAAGATACATGTTATGTATGTGTGTGTGTGTCTGTGTGTGTGTGTGTGTCTGTGTGTGTGTGTGTGTGTATATATATATATATATATATACACATACATGTATATATCAGTAAATATGTATATACTATATAGTACATATATGCATACAAACATATTCTACAAATAGAAACAGTACAAAGTGTTTAGGACTAGGAGACATGAATCTGACTTATGCTTTCAGAATAATCTGTAATTTCAAGAACTGTTTTTGCTGTGAACTCACTTGTGTTGAAACTTGAGGCTAGTCTCTATTCAGTTCACTCAGCTGGTCAGTGGCAATTGTGCATTTCCTGTTTGCTACGCTTTGCCTGGGCACCGAGAGTCAAAACTAAGGTGCCCTCAAGGACTCCAAAGGGTGGTTGAGAAGCAAAAATTGCACTACAGCATGTGAGAGCTGTTAATAAGTGGAAGAAGAGCCTGATGTGTTGCACACCTGTAATTCCAGCTATTTGGGAGACCAAAGCAGGAGAATCTCAAATTCAAGTCTAGCCTGGGCAACTTAGTGAGATACTGTCCCAAATACTAAAACAGATTTTTAAAGGGCGTGTAGCTCCGTGGTACTGGTAGAGTGCTTGCTTAGCATGCATGAGTCCTTGGGTTCAATCCCAGCACTGCCAAAAGAGAAGAAAGGAAACAAAGGATGGCGGGAGGAAAGAGGGAGGGGTAGTGGAGTACATGGTGTGTGCCTGTAATCCCAGCGCTCTGGGAGACTGAGGGAGGGAGGAGAATTGCAAATTCTGGTACAACCTGGGCAGCTTTGCGATTCAGCAACACCGTGTCTGAAAATTAAAAAATGGGCTGGGTAATGTAGCTTACTGTGAAGACCACGGGTGTAATCCTCTGTACTACAAAAAAGAAAAGGGAGGAAGAAGCAGTTGATCATGCTAACTTGGTGAACGGATATAGGAAAGAGTTTTACCCAAAGTATCACAGTTCAGTCTTGAAAAAGAAATACAAAGATTAAAAAAGAAACAAACTGTATTATGTACATATACCTACTTCTCAAGTTGAATGTAAACTTCGTGTACTCTTAAGCGTATACTTGTAATGTAAAAATTTAAATTTTAAAAAAAGTTGCACACTCGGGAGGCTGAGGTAGGAGGATTGTTGCAAGTTTGAGACTAGCCTAGGCTAGAAAGTGAGCTGAAGGCCATCCTGAATTGTATAGTGAGACCCTATCTCAAAAAAAAAAAAAAAAGGTGCAGCAGATTCGGGAAGCAAGGAGTGGCCCAGGAGGCAGCAGAAGTCATGTGTGCAAAGGCATGATGGCATGAGAAATCCTGGTGTGTGCGAGGAACATCCCATGATTGGGTATAACTTAAGACCAGCGAGCTAGGTCAAAAGTAGAGAGAGGTTAGACTGGAAAGGTAAACAGAGACCAGTCCTAAAGAGCTTTATGGTCTAGTCATTACAGCAATCAGAAGTCATTGAAAAGTTTCAAGCAGGGAAATGACATGATCAGATACATGGTTTAGTATGTGAATACTAAAAAGTATGGCACATTTAACAGAAGTTAGACAGAGATCCTCTGACATGTCAGGTTCCTTCTCTGGAAAATGAGGGCATTAACAGATATCTCTCTGCTCAGTTCTAAGTAAAAGTAATAATTTTTACAAATCCTGTTCAGTTCCTCTCTCCCAGTTGGTTATATTCTCATCTTAAAAAAATACATAACTCTGGAGCCAGGTACAGTGGCCTGTAATCTGAGCACTTTGAGAGACTGATGCAGGAAGACCACAGGCTTGAGTTCTGCCTGGGCAATTTAGTAAGACCCTATCTCAAAATAGAAATAAGAAAGGGCTGGGATGTGTGTCAGTGCTAAGGGCCTGTGTTTAATCCCCATTACCAAAAAAAAAAAGTGGCTCCAGCTTAATTTTTATGTTTGTCACATACAACTTTGTCTCTTCTTCTCACTTAGTTCTGAATCGGAAAATAATTCCTGTTGCCCTGTTGTGTCAATGACATCACTTTCGGAGCCAGACTTAGTGCCGTCTTCCTCTTTCTATACTTCCTCTGAAGAAGAGCTGGCCAACCCAGAAAAAGAGCATCCTAAGAAAAATAAAAAGATGACCTATGCTAAGGAGCTCATCAACAACATGTGGAAAAACTTTTGCGTTGAAGATTATATTCAGGGTAAAGATACTGACTTGCAAGTACCTGAAAAAACAAGGAAGAAACCAAAAGAATGGGTGTCCAGAATTACAATACCTGTACCTTTCCAAATGATGATTAGAGAACAGAAGAAAAAAGAAGAGGCCAAGAAATCTAAGTCAGATATTGAAACAGGACAGAAACTGCTCAAAAACGAAGATGATTCAGAGTGTAAGAAGAAATTCCGAGCCAATCCAGTCCCTTTGAGTGTCCTCCTTCCCCTCTATCATGAGCTAGTTAAGCAAAATGAAGAACAGAGGAGGGCCAGGAAGGAGAAAAACAAACAAACACTTTTGGCCTTGCAAAAGCCATTTACGTTTATTGCAAGGGAGGAACAGAAGCAAGCAGCCCGGGAAAAGCAGCTGAGAGACTATTTGAAGACTAAAAAGAAAACCCACCAGTTTAAAGCCCGACCCATACCTCTGTCTAATTATGGTTCAGCTACCAGCAACAAATTAAAAGAAGAAGAGCACCTTAGAAACATTAGAGCACAGCTGAGAGCCCAGAAGTCAGCCGCTCCATCTTGTAGACCAGGTCACAAACATAGCAGGAGACCCAAGTATCCTGAACAGGCTGGAAAATCAAGGAGCAGACACAAGGCCAGGTCCCAGACTCCTGACGCTGAAGACCTTCCTAAGGAGTCCAAGAAACAGTCCTCAGAACACAAGTGGCCAAAACCCTCAGCAGCTCAAAGACCACCTGTATCCTCGAGTAAATCTGCTGAGAGGCAGAACGTTCTGTCAGATGAAGAAAATTTGAAACAAACGCGTTGGTGTTCTCTGTCACCAAGGCACAAGTCACCAGGCAGAAGTGCAAGTACAAAGCCCGCGTCCTACAGCTGCACACCCCCAGCGCCCACAGCGTCCTCCAGGGGACGGGAAGAAGCCATCAGGTAGGGGCTCGGACTGACTGACTTGTGCTTGCTAGGCTAGTGAGTGTCGCCCTATTGCTTTTATATTGGTGACTGAAAATATTAAGAAACTATTGTATTTGTAACATATTTTACTATATCATGAACATTTTGCTCAGGGTGTTCTTTAAAGAAATGAATATATTTTCCATCTTGTGACTCTTTAGGGAGAGAAAAGGCTACAGTTACCCTTGACTGAATTTTCAGTTTCACAAGTCAGATCCTTCCCAAAAGATTGATTTTTGACCCCCAACCTTTGAATCATCTCGTGTTAAATGTTTGTTAAGCAACTTTCTCCTTGGCATAAGGTGAATTAAGCCTTAGTTTATTGCCCTCAGGAGATCACTTGAGGAAAAGAAAATGTTGGAAGAAGAAAGAAATCGGATCTTAATTAAGCAGAAGCAAAGAATGAAAGAATGGCAGAAACTCCTGACAACCCGGGCTAAGGCTTATGACCCACACCAAAGTTTAGCTCAAATGTCTAAATCCAAAGTAAAATATCTCAGGTATCCTGAAAGAATTCGGGACACTGGTTTCCAAAGTTTCTCTCCCTACCCCTTTCCCTCCTTCCTTCCAATCTTTTTTTTTTTTTTGTCTTTTTGGGACTGGGCCTAACGGTGTATTTCAAGTTAGTCTTGAACTCACTTTATAGCCCAGGTTGGCCTCAAATTCACAGCGTTCCTCCTGCCTCAGCCTCCCGAGTGCTGGCTTTACAGGCACGTGCCACCTACCCAGCTGCATCGTTTTTTCTGTATGGAGAATGGAACTCACAACCTTGCGCTTGCCAGTTGGGCATTTGTGCTACTGACTAAATCCCCAGCCCCTCCGTCTGTTCTTTTACAAGGTCTTACTCTGTGGTCCAGGCTAGGCTGGACTTGCACTGTGTAGATCAGACTGGCCTCACACTGCTCTGTGTCAGCCTGCTGAGTAGCTGAGGTTACATGCATGCTCCACCATGCCTTATTTTGTTTTTTAAAATCAGTGGATACCAAGGCATGAACAGATTGAAAATGATAATGGTATTTTAGTTTATAGATTCAAATTATGCTTATATTCAACGTGTTCATTGTATACAAACATATGCACACATCCTCACGGTGAGAACCAATGTAAACACTCACCTCTGAGAACCATGAAGCTATGTTGATGAACAAAAACTTTTTTTGTGGCCATAGTATATGTAATCTTATATTGGCATGTAACCTTTTTTCATGTATATATCTATCATCTATCTATCTACCTACCTATCATGTATGTATCTACTTTGGTGGTGGTTACTGGCGAAAGAATCCAGGCCTAACCTCTACCCTTGAGCTATATCTCCAGCTCTCTTCATATTATATTTGATTGTACTATAAAATAGTGAGAAAAATCTTAATTCCCATAGTTAAAGCACTTTAAAAAGCTTTCCACATAATCTCATCATTTTTTTTTTTTTTGTCTTTTTCCTTTTTATCGGTACTGGGGATCGAACTCAGGACTGCCTGCTTGCAAGGCAGGTGCTTATGCCACTGAGCTAAATCCCCAGCCCTCCACATAATCTCAATACTAGGATTGAACCCAGGCCTTAAGCATACTAAACCCACTCTCTGCACTGAACTATACTCCTAGCCCAGAACATTTTTTCAGTAAACAGGTATGACAAGTTTTATTCTAGATATGCATAAAATCTGATAGCAAATATTAACACATTTTTGTTAATTAACACCAATCATGTGATGTGTTGATTAACATGCATGTCAGTATTACACGATATATGTTGCTTTTTAAGGTTTTTTTCAGCACTTTAGATTAAACCCAGAACCTTCACACTGAGCTATATCCCCAGCCCTTTAAAAACAATTTTTTTTACTCTTTTTTTTTTTTTTGTCTTTTTCATTTTTTTATCAGTACCAGGGATCGAACTCACGACCACACACTTGCAAGGAAGGTGCTTATGCCGCTGAGAGCTAAATCCCCAGCCCCTAAAAACAATTTTTTAAAAAATTTTTGTTTGTCTGTTTGTTGAAGACAGGGTCTTGCTATGTAGTTCAAGCTGACCTTGAACTTAGTGTGTAGTCTAGCTGGCCTCGAACTCTCAGTGATCTTCCTGCCTCAGCCTCCCAAGTGCTGGGATTATAGACGTGTGCCAGTACCCCCGGTATATATTTTTCATTTTGATACAGGATTTTGTAAATCATTAAATTACCCACCTTGAGCTCAAATTTAGTCTTATTGCCTCACCCTTATATTAAAAATAAAGATATCCATATAGTACTTAGAACCCCTTCACAGAATTCTAGAATTCTGGAGTACAGAGTTTGAAAACCAGTGTTCCAGGTGTTGCACATGAAAATATTCATGTTTAAGTAAGAAAATACCTCCCCAAAACTAGGTAAGTAATATGATTTACTAATTTTTAATTTGGTTTATAAGAATTAAAGATATATATATATATATATATATATGTATTTGCTTTTAATTACAATGAGTATACCTTTATACTGTAGCACTGATTTATTGATAGGAACTTAATTTTGTGAATGAGAACAGAAATTTCCTTAGATGTTATTTATATATAAGAAGTAAACTAATTTTAGCTGGATATGGTGGTGCATGCTTATGCTCTCAGCATTTGGGATGCTGAGGCAGGAGGATTACGGTGAGTTCCACACCTGCTTGGGCTGCATAGTGAGTTCAAGGCCAACCTGAACTATATAGCAAGACCCTGTGTCAAAAAAAAAATTTTTTTTTTCATTACACCAACTTGTTTATAATTAATAAGAATGATAATTTTAAAATATAATTATTTTCTATAGGCTATGAAATACTATCTTGTTTTAATATTTCTTACATAGAGAAAAGCACCATAGTTTAATTCATTATAGACATAGACAGTTGTCCAAAGAGATTTCTGTTCATTCATATTCCTTTCAGTGCTATGACCTCATGCTCCCCAATTCCTTCTGACCTGCTTCCATTTAATTCACTTCCACTAATCTTTAAGAGATCTCATTTATGGGAAAAAATAAGAACAAGATCCTATTTTTCCAAGAAATTCTTTAAAGATAATATATCTGATTTGGATCAATTGTTTTATATGATACTTTTTTTTTTTTTTTTTTTGGTACTGGGGATCAAACTCATGAGCAAGCAGGCGCTTATTCCACAGAGCAAATTTCCAGCCCTTTGTTCTTGGCTTTGTACACTTACAAATGATGTAATCAACAGTCATTCATCTCTTCAGGCCAGTTTTAAGCCTCTGAGGACATTAGGCCTTGAAGATTTCAGAAGTCAAAATATGCAAACTGTTTCCTGGGCAATAAAATAGGTACTTTCAGAATCTAGGATTTTTACTCATGAGTTTAAAACACTAATTAAGATAAACTATGCTCACACCTTTTTTTTTTTTTTTTTTTTTTTGGTACTGGGGATCGAACACATGACCTTATGCTTGCCAGGCAGGTGCTTAGGCCACTGTATGCTCATAATTTCTGATTGGTCCTCTAAGCAAAGTGCTATATATTTGAGTTTATTTTCTTACATGGCCTTTTACAAGTCTACTTCTTTTATCTGATTTTAGAAAGAATGAAAAGGAAAGAATGAAAGAATACCGAAGAGAACTAGAAGAAAGAGAAGAAAAATTAAAAATGAGGCCACTACTATTTGAAAGAGTTTCTCAGGTTGTGTTTATTGGAATTTAAGAGCTAATGTCAGCCTTTTGCCTTGTTTTGTTTTAAAATCTTTAGCTCCCAAATTTACTGTCCACTTTTCTTGTGTCATGTAATTATTGAGATATGTTGTTTCTGGGACAGCTTCTTCAGATTAGCCAAGGAAGTGATTTTGCTTAAATTTTGAGCATAAATCTTCATAATGAGGCACATAACCTTGATAAAGAACATGCTGATAATCCAGTTCTCAAAATATTATTCACAACCTGTTTTTCTTAATGACTGGCCTTTAAGTAGCAATTTGGTTATCTATTAAAGTGAAGCTTCATTAAATGACTTGGAGATCCTTGAAGAATTAAAAAGTGAAACAAATGACTAATTGAATCAGATTTATTTCTGCCAATTAAAAATGAGTCTATTTTATGTATAATTATTAAAAAGACTTCCTTGTTATTCAGAAAACAAATTGGTCATATAGGCAGTGAATCCTGATTTGTTTTCTGAATGCAGACTCATTTTTACAATCTTTCTCTTCAGGGAGATTTATCAATTTCAGTTCATGTTCTCCTTTGATCTTGTAGGTAAAGGGTTTGTTTGAGTGACATTGCTTAATAACAGAAAAGCACTGGGGGTTATAGCTATTACATTATGAATTTCAAGCTGTTACAGTTAGACAGTGGACAGCTGCAGCACTTACCTGTGACAGATGAGCACAGCTGCAGGATTGCACTTGTCAGTGACTCACCTGTGATGATGGACGTGTAATGTAGGTGAATCTACACAGTAGAATCTCTCAAAATTGTGTAATCTTTTACTTATTTGGATATAATTTTATGCAGTGGCTTTTTAAGCATGGACTTTAAAGAAAGTTTCAAGTTTAGGAAGAAGAAATCATTTTAAACTCTTCTATGTTGTATCGCATAGTGATTACTTTTTTAACTCAAAGAAGCTATCCCTATTTTCCGTCTGCAAATGCCTCAACACCTACCCTCCTACCCAGCAGTATTGAGCATTAAACCCAGGGCCTCACACATGCTATGCAAGTGCTCTACCTCTGAGTCGTATCTCCAGCTCTATTTATTTATCTATTTATTTATTCAACAGCATTTTACTAAGTTGCCCAGGCTGGCATTGATTTTTTTTTATAGTCCTACTTTTGCCCTCCGAGTAGGATGATAGGCACATGCCACCTCGTCTACGCAGACTGCATGTTCTATTCACTGCTCTGTTGATCTCTACCCAGATTTTCCATATAAATCTTGCTTTTATCTTCACTCCACTTGAGTCTTCCTGGAGGTTATAATTTAGATGGCTGAGAGCTTCATATTTCTTTCCCAACTGAGTTGGTCAGAAAGACCTGTCGAGTTTTTCACTAAGTAGTCTTCCCTGCTGGTGAAATGCAAGGGTAACAACTATTAACTCTTTTCTCAGTTATAATTTAACTATAATTTGAATTATAATCTGACTAGTCTTTCTGCCTTCAGTTTTGCAAAGCCACCTATTATACCTTTCCCTTGCCACTGATGTTCTTCTGCCAAACGTTAGCCTGTAGAGGCCTTTAGGAACCTTGGTAATAGTGACAGTCCTCCATTCTCACTGATTCCATCTATCCTCGTTGTCACTAAGTGGTATCAAGGGGCCTTGTCACTAACTTCTTTAAGCAATGCAATAAGGTAAGTGTCAAAATATTACTGATGAAGAAACTAAAGTTCAAAGAAAGTAACTGATAAGCTTATAGTTAGTAAATGATAGATCTAGAATTGGAACCCAAGTTGATTTGCTTCCAGTCCCTTAACCCTGACCTGTGCTGCTCCCAGAAGATGAATTCAGTCTCGCCCTGGTATCCGTACAGAATCACCGGTGATTGGCCTCTTTGTCTCTCACTGCACTTTCCTGTCCACTTTATGTTTCCTCCATGTTTACTCTGTAGTTTCGGGTCACACCATACCACTAGGCTACATTTAAACGTCGAGTCTTTGTGTTGTTTTCTAAACACCCTTAAAGTCTATTTTTACAGTACTCCCCCTCACTGAAGTCAGTGTAGTACAGTCAGAAACAGTGGAGCTCCCTTCCAGCCCTTTAGTTTTAAACAGCACCATATGGCCGTTCTTCCTTCCAGTGTCCTAAGCGAGGAGAAAATAAAGTAACAGTAATCCAGGAGATCTAAAAACGCGTGTGTACTGCATCTCCCAGTCTAGCCCTTGGCCACCTTTACCCTACTCCCACCTCGTGTCATGCATGCAGTTAAGATCCGAGTGAATTCTGGGACAAGCGTGCCTGCTGAGATCCCCTGAGACACTGCAGCTTCCTGTCAGTCACTCCTGGAGAGTCAGGTGACATACCTGGGCAGAGGTGCGCATCCTTGAAATTCTGAAAGCCTGGTGTAACTGGGGATTGCGGCTGCTCCTGTGTGCTATGGCCTCGGCAGTGCCCCTGCTTTCCGGTCACCCCAACCCCATTTTCTGTCTCTGCCATATCTTTTATCAGCACAGATGTGCCCTTAGCACAGCTTCCCATGATCTTCAGTGAATTGTAGCTGCTTGCCACCTGCTCCTGGGGGTATTCTTGGCAATTCTTGGCTCATCACACCCAAGGCCTGGACTGGACCTGCCCGTTATGCAGTGTGGAGTACACAGACTCTTCCTGCGCTGTTTCCCAGGCGGAATGGGTGCCCCTTCCTCTGTGTTGTTTTACCCGCCTGGTGCACATCTTTCTTTGCCCCTCCCCACAGTGTTGGAAGTTATCTGTGTAATGGGCCCTCCTCCCTTTTAGGCAGTCCATTTTAAGGACAGTAGCCCAGTCTTTGCATTCATAGTAATGAGTGCCTAAGACAGTGTCTGGCCTGGTAGGATTGTCAGGGAGCATCAATAATTCTGATCACCTTACACAAACAGGGACCTTGTGTTTTCTTTTGGGGTTAGTTGGGCCTGAGAGTGCTACTCTGATGTATTAGGGACAAGTCAGCATTAATAAACAGTTCTGTCATGCTGTGAGTCCCCAGTCCCTAGGCACCAGAGACAATGTGAGCAAATAAATGTGTATATGTATATATATATTTTTATATCCATAAAAAATGTAAATGTGGAAAAGCATAGATTGGTTTTATACTTGATATTTTGTCTTCCTCTTTTGGCCCTCATATATGATGTTCCCTTCACTCAAAAAGCTTTTCTCCATACTGTCCCAAAGTCATGTGAGAGCTTGTTATAAGGTAAGTATTCTGTTATTGTTAAATACATGGAAGATTTACCACAAACTAAACTTCTAATGAAGTTTCCCGTCAAACTAGGGGCAGACTTTCATCAGCTTTTATTTTAGTTTTTGGAAGGAACAAAGGTAATCCTTCTTTGCAGTTATTGATAGTGAAAGAAAATAACCATACAACTGTTTTAACAGTTCCATTTATGTCATAGTCTTAATAGTTTTTCTCAGGAATGCATGGGAGAAGTATTTCTTGCAATTAGAAGTAGTTTACATTGTTTAGCTTGATGTAAAATGTTAAAAGATAATTCTATATATAGAGTGATTTTGGCAGTGAATCACCTTTATTTTGGCTTTTCAAAAATCTAAATAGTTGTATCCTTTAAGCCTGTTTTGCTGTGATGGTTTCTTTTTCTTTTTCTTTTTTTTTTTTTTTTTTTTGTCTTTTTGGGACAGGGTCTCCCTATGCAGTTTAGTCTGGCCTTGGGCTCACTTTGTAGTTTAGGCTGGTCTGAAATTTACAGTGATTGTCCTGCCTCAACCTCTCAAATTTGGGGATACAGGCGTGAGCCACCATGCTCTGCTTGCTATGATGATTTCTGCTAACAGCTGCTATTCAAAAATATTCACTTACAATTTTTGCTTTGCTCATTTATAAGTTAATTGTGGAATCCTAGCTGTCAAGTTACTGTAGTGGAATATGCCTGTGACTCACTATAAAACAAGCTATGTCATCCGTTTCTTGGAAATCACAGGATTTATTAACTAAGTAAATATTAAATTGAATTTTAAACCAAATTCAAATGAAGACTTAATAGCATCAACTTTCATTAGCATCTTTTTAATGCCTTTTACATTTACTGCTTAAATAATGTAATATTCTTAGTGTTCAGAGTTAGGTTTGGGGTTTCTTTATTTTTTCCCCTGGTCTTTGGGCAGAGTTCTCATGTTTCACTTCTAGTCTGCCAAGGCTTGACAGTTGCAATTCATACTTTAAAAAAAAAAGCAAAAAACAAAACTATTACTGTGGTTGCAGAAGTTCAAGGGCTTTTTTTTTTTTTTTTTTTTTCATTTCCCAGCATGCCAGGAAATTTATGCACTGTAACCAGTCTATTTTGGTTTCTCCTATTTATCACTAGACTCCATGGGGCCTTATTATGCTAGAATCCATGGGCAAGGCTCATATCTGACAATTGCATTGGTGATGTCAGGCTTTGGGCCACCTTCAAACTTCAAAGTGACCACTGTCACTTAGAGAACAGTGTAATAGAGTAGAAAAGGCCAGTAAAGTCAAGACAATTGATTCTATTACCCTTGTGACCTCTGGAGAGGAATCTTCATTTCTTGATGTTTTTTATTTTGGTTTGGTTTGGCTTTCTTTTTCTTTTTTTTTCTTTTTTGACAAGGTCTTGCTATGCAGTTCAGACTGGCCTTGAACTAATTTTGTAGCCCAAGCTGACTTCAAACTCACCAGTAGTCCTCCTATCTCAGCCTCCAGAGTGCTGGGATCACAGGTGTGTGCCACCATGTCCAGCTGGTTTGGCTTTTGAAATAGGTATTGCTGTGTAGTTCAGGCTGGCCTTGAACTCACTAGAGTCCAGACTGGCCTCAAACTTGCAGTGATCATCCTGCCTCAGCCTCCTGAGTGCTGTCAGTACTGCTTGCTTGACAATGTCTGAATAGTGGAGTTAAGTTGAGTACTAGCCTTTATCCTTTGCAGTGTGGGGTACTGTTGGTCCATTAGAACCAGGGCATTCTTTAGGTGAAAATCCAAAGGACAACTCTTGGCCCTATACTAACTAGTTCACATTCACCTATAAAAGCTAAAATGTATAAAAGCTGAGGCACTAATATGAACACAGTCACTTTATAGTTCCATAAAGCCTGTGGTCGCAGAAACTGTGATGCTTTCAACTTGATAGAGCTATCATGAGTCCACAACCCCAACAGATCCTCACACTGAGAAGGGACAGTCCAGCGCTTTGAACCCAGTTCTAAACCCATGTCCACTTTATTATAGTGTTTGCTTTCTACATGGGGTAGGGATAGCAACATTGATGATTTTATTATCTTTGGTAGATTTGGGATATGGCTTACAAAGAGTAAAAATTACAGTAGGCACAAGAAGAGCAGTTCACTATCACATGATCTTATTTTCTTATTTTTCTCAGTACTTTTATATAGTCATAAAGATAATATACAACCTAAGTATGATGTGAAGAATAATTGCAAGTCCATCCCCATTGCAGTTACCACTTAGGTTAACAAATAAAGCCAGAACACCAGCACCCCAGAAACCCCTGTGTGTCCGCCCAGATCACAGCCCTGTACTGCTTCCCTAGAGGTAAACACCGTTCTTACTTGTTTATGTGTTGGTTATTTTTGCAGTGCTGGAGTCAAACCCATAGTCTTAGGCATGCTAGAGAAGTGCTCTGCCACTGAGCTGCATCCTAGCCGCTGTTCTGTTTTTTCAGATAAGCACTTTCGTGTTTTTCTGTGCAGTTTTGCCGCCTATGTGCCTGTGCCCAAATAATGTAGCTCAGTTCTTCCTGATTCCAAATTTTAGGTAAATGAATGATACTATATGTAGTATTTTGTGACTTCCTTCTTTCTTTGTATTTTATTTATGGTGCCTACCAATGATATGATAGATAACTATAGTTATTTTCATTGCTTTCTGTTGTATAAATAGGTCCTGGTACATTTACCCACCAACGGTTGACAGATATCGGGCTCTTTACAATTTTAAGTTATCACAGACAGAACTATTCTGAACATTCTTGTATGTGTCTCCGGGGGCACATGTATGGTATTTTTTATAGGTACATACCTAAAATTATCATTGGAGGTCGTAGCATGATGTGTATTTCAATCACTTTTGATGTCAGACTTAATTTTCACTGGAGCTTTTAACTCATACATTTCTAATGAAAGTTTAAAGTCTTTGTTTTCATCTAAAAAGATTTGTCTTTCCTATAGAACAATGCGAGAATGGCAGCAGAAAAGCATTATTCTAACAAACTAAAAGCACTAGGAATATCTGATGAGTTTGTTTCAAAGAAAGGCAAAAGTGGAAAAGTATTTGAGTACTTCAGCAATCAAGAGATGAAAAGTTTCACTGGAGATAAAGAAAGGTAACATATATAAGATATCTGAATGGTTTACCTTTGAAAAAATTGTTACTTACAGGAAACTGTACTCGTCTCATATTTAAAAGAAAAACAAAACAGCTATCACCTAAGGGAATGCATACAAACTGTCGTAAAACATTCTGATATTTTACCGTGTTTGACACAAATTATTACGTGGTGATGAAGTACTTTGTTTTTAAACAAAGTAGGTTTCTGGCTGACATAAATAATGAAAATAATAGCATGATTTCAAATGAAGTTTAAAGAGTCAGTCATTCAAGTTTCAAAATAAGGTGGTTCTCAGAGGAATATTTAATTTCCCAATTGGCACTTTATTTCATAGTTTTCTTTGATAACAAGTTGGAATTTGTGGAAGACTGGCTACACGATGGTACACACTGCAGAGGGTCTGTATGCCTTTTAAACCATTCCTTTTTCCTTTGAAAGATTGATGAATTTCTTCCTCTAGCTTTAATGAAGAGGAAAAAGTAGAAGAGCGAGAAAATGGGGAAGAAAATTATTTTATTGATACCAGCAGTCAAGACTCTTGCAAAGAGAACGCTGAAGACGATGAAGAGAGTGGAGAGGTGTCTGCGGAAGGGTAGAATCGCTCAGCGGGCTCCTCTCCGTGCCCTGGCAGCAGCTGGCAGCAGCTGCGCCTGTGACGTGAGGACGTCCGCCGGGACATCTCCATGTGTGCATGTGTGCGGTGCTGTGCACAGAGACGTTACAGCCCAGAGGCTGGATTCAGATGATGGTGATTCGGTCAGTGAAAGCTCCCCCCTCCTTTCTTCTGAGAATTGCAACCTGTGGTCTGTTTGCTATGATGATCTTGTATTTTAAAAGTGTTTGGAAAAAAGATTTGAGAATCACAGCTGTCACAAACTGATTAATTAAAAAAATAGGCATTATGTTTGGTGGGGAAAGGGATTTGGATAGAGAGGAAAGCTGGGCGTAAGCCCAGCATTTGAAAGTTTGAGGCCAGAGGATTGCTGTGAGTCCAAGACCAGCCGGAGCTACATCACTACACCTGTCCCAAACGGCAAAACAAGGCAGAAAAAGAACTGGGAGGAGACAGAAGTATCTGGCCCTGGTGGTTTATTTTAAAATACAGGATTTCTCGAAAACTTGAATGAATAAAGATTTTAAATTATACTGTTTTCATACTCTTTTTCTTTGTAATACAGTTCACAAAATTAATCCACAAATTCAACTGCTGGGTTTTTGAAGTTTCTTTTTCTTCTTCTTCTTATTTTTTTTTTTTTTTTTTTTTTTTTTTTTTTTTGGTACCAAGTGTCCAACTCACGACCTCACACTTGCCAGGCAGACGCTTACGCCACTGAGCTAAATCCCTGGCCTTGATTTTGAAGTCTCTTATCTGGGCCATTTTTTACAAAGTACATTGGTAACTCATCTCACGCATTTAATTCGTTCCGTGATTGTGGGGAACATGGCTGGGGCTGTGATCATCACCCAGTCTGAAATTTGTGACTAGAAGCAAAATTTTGCCAAATGCTTCAGTTCATGAACTGAACTGAGGCATTACGGTAATTAAATGGGAAAAAATAGATACAAATTTATATTGTTTTCCACACTGACAATTTATGTTTTACTGTCATCACTTTTTCCTTTTATCCTTAGTTTTAGTCATTTTATTTTATTTTTACTTTATTTACGTGTGGAGGATTGAGCCAGGGCTCATGTATGCTAAGCATATACTGTGTCACTGGGTTACACCCTTAATATTTCCAACTTATTTTTGATATGTACAGTATTGAAAAAGTTTTTATACGATTTATAAGATTTTTTTTTTCGGTACCGGGGATCAAACTCATGATCACGTGCTTGCAAGGCAGGTGTTTATGCCACTGAGCTAAATCCTCAGCCCCCATTTATACTGATTTTTGAACCTTCTGAGCCAGATGTAAATAAATACAGCATTCTGAGTTACCTTAATTATAGGTAAACAACCACCTCTCTCTCTCTCTTTTTTTTTTTTTTTTTTTTTTTTTTTTTGAGCACAGTCTCCCTATGCAGTTCAGGCTGGCCTTGAGCTCATTTTGTAGCCCTTGCTGGACTTGAATTCACAATGATCCTTCTGCCTCAGCCTCCCTACTGCTGGGATTACAGGTGTGTGTCACTACCCCCAGCTTTTTAATATTGTCATTCTAAATATACTAAAATTGGGCATAATAACTCACCTAAGGCAAAGTCTTCAAAATTATTCAGATTTTTTTTAAAGAGGCCTAAAGAGACAAACAAATATACATTCATTAAAGAGTATGGGCCCCCAAGAAAGAGGCACATTATAGTTTGAAACTGGAAATATTTATTTATGTGTTTTTGGTGGTGAAAATCTGTGAATTCACAAACCTATAGAGGGTTTGGGCTTGGTTCATGGAAGGAAAGTGGTAGCAACACAGAATGATGGCTCATTTTACAGGAAAAGGCACCGGTCTAGGCTTTTTTTAAATCAATGATCTGAGATGTTTTACGTAAAACATCCTTTGTAACCATTTGTTTGTTTGAGACAGGGTCTTGCTATGTAGGTCAGGCTGGCTTGAACTCACTAGCCCAGAATAGTGATCCCCCTGCCTCAGCCTCCTGAGTTCTCGAGCTACAGTGATACAAAATCATGCCTTGGTCAGAATCTGTTCTTCTTAAATCAATTTTCTAACCTCTTTAAATTTACCAACTAAGCTAATTTATAAACTTAAAGGGATTTGGGGTGTGATGAGCCTGGAAGAAAAGAAGCAGAAACAAACCTAAGAACCATAGATATGGAGGGGGGAGTACACATATGAATAACTGGGTAATTTTATATTTTGAAGTCTCAGTCCTTTTAAAAGTACAATTGAGCCAGGTCTGATGGTGCTCACTTGTAATCCCAGCATTTAGGAGGCTGAGGCAGGAGGACTGCCATGAGTTCAAGGCCAGCCTGGGCTACATAGTGAGTTTAAGACCATCCTAGAATACAAAGCAAAACCCTGTCTCAAAAAAAAAAAAGTACAATTGATAAACTATGTTATTCCTTATCTTCTTCCTACCTCATTTCTTCTGTACTAACACACACACACACACACACACACACACACACACACAGACTCCAACTTTGATCCCTTATCCTTAAGCAGAAGGGCTGATGGTCTTTCTTCTTATGACTGCTCAGGCCATAAGAAGACCCTGCACAGCCAGGATTGAAAGTCTCATTCTTGGGCTGGGGATTTAGCTCAGCGGCATAAGCGCCTGCCTTGCAAGCAGGCAGTCGTGAGTTCGATCCCTGGTACCGATAAAAACAAAAAAAGACAAAAAAAAAAGGATGTCACAGGATAAGGCATTCACTTTTCTAGAAACAATAATCATCTGCTAAAAAGGATGAACTGAGGGCTCGGGATATAGCTCAGTGTCATAAGCATCTGCCTGGCAAGCACAAGGTCCTGAATTCAATTCCTGGTGCCAAAAAAACCCCAGACAAAACCAAAAAATGATGAACTAATAAGAGTGTACGTAATAGCAGTGTTTCATGATGGGCAATTTATGCTTCAGTTATTATGATGCTTTTTCTCAGGTTTGAGAATATTTATAATTCCCTGATTATAATTTCTTTCCTACAGTTTATGTTAAACTACTTGTCCCTGTCATTAGATTGTATCATAGTTTGTGCCTTGCCTCATGTGGTCTGGGGTGGGGCTTTTTCAGGATGTAATGTGTGTGACGCTGGGATTAAGGATGTGTGATTACTGAATCAGTCCACCGATTGGTGTGGCGCCCGCCCTAGTCCCAGTAGCCTACCTAGAGTATAAAGAGGCAGGAAGAAGCTAAGCCCCCTTGCTTGCTTTACTAACCTCTGCCTGGCATGAACTCTCTCCTCTGCGATCTTTGTCTGCTGTGCCACCTGCCTTAGATCCAGGTCACTGTGGACTGAAACCTTTACAAACTGTGAGCCAAATAAACCTTTCCTGCCTTAACTTTGATTGTTGGGCATTTTGTCTCAGCAATGAGCAAAGGAACTATGACAGATTTTAGACTTGGCACCAGTTAAAACATTAATCTTTGTACAATGGTACCTCACAACTTTTTGCAAACAGAAGTGTTTTTGCAACATTCTGTTTTTGTTTGCAAACTGCATTGGATGACAAACAACTGCGGCCGCCTTTGTGGCATAACTAACAGATGTGGTCACCATACCCAGAATTGTGGAACGAGTTAAGTTTGTGAATGGAGCTACTACTTACTGTGGTAAGTGTGCTGGTTATTTTTCTCACTCCATACCCAACACCTAAAGTTAAGGAAGGGAAGATTTATTTAGTTCACAGGTTGTGAACTTTTTAGTCCATAACCAGCTGGCTCCAAGGCAGGGTAGCAGGCACAGGTGTAACACTTTAAGGCGGCAGAAGCTGGCACAGCAACAAGAGTAAAAAGTTGGGGGTTGGGGCAGCGAGCCTCTTTTCCACCCTTATAAATTGTGAGCACACTGCCCCCCTCAGGTTGGTGTAGCACTCAATCATCTCCAAGTCCTCTTGCACAGGATGAGGATGTTTAAAAAGCGAGGACCCTGGCCCCTGCTGAGTCGTTTGTTAAATTTCTGACTCTCAAATTGACACAATGAACAACATCCTAGAAGGGTAAAGGCTTGCGCTCCACACCCCAGGATGTAGAGCTGCCGAGTTAGTTAAGCTCCTAGACGTCTCAGGTTGACACCATGAGCTGAATAGGTGACTGTGATTTTAATTACACTTGTGATTACTTGGAAATGAGCACACATGGGTTTAAAAACATTTCCCTTCCTGCTGGGCCACGGGGCGCACACCTGTGATCCCAGGAGGCTAAGGCAGGTGGACTTGCCTGGAGTTTGAGGCCAGTCTGAACTATATAGTGAAACCCTGTCTCAAAAAACCAACCAACATACCAAACAAAAAACATTTCCACTTTACTGAGACTGTCTGGAATACAATTTACAAATGGTTATATTTAAACTTTTCCCAAGAATACTTTCCATACTCTGCCCTTTCTCAGTGTCATGAGACAGAGTGAGCTTTGGCCATAAAAGACTTGGCTTCGGGACCAGGCTTCAATTTTCTTGTCCTTTAAAAATAAGGATACTACCTATCTTTGGTAGTTGTAGGAAGGGTTGGATGAAATCGTATATGGAAAAACTCTTTGCAAAATACGATGTGATAATGTCAGAGAACAGAACTATCCCAAGAAACCTTTTGGGGTAGGTTGGGAGGCAGGGTGCAGGCAACTGAACCCAGGGCATTGGTATTGGATAGTGTATTAAGCATACACACTGAACTAGATTACCAGCCTCCCCTCTCCTTTCCTTTCCTTTCCTTTCCTTTCCTTTCCTTTCCTTTCCTTTCCTTTCCCTTTCCCTTTCCCTTTCCCTTTCCTCTTTCCTCCTCCCCAACCCCTTCTTGAGACAGGATCTCCCCATATAGTTCAGGCTGTCCTTGAACTCACTATAGCTCAGGCTGGCCTCTAACTTGCAATAATCCTCCTGCCTCAGCCTTCTGAGTGCTAGAATTACTGGCATGCTCTCCCATGGATCTTTTTTCTTACAATAAAAAATCAACACTGGATTAGGGGCTGGGGATTTAGCTCAGCGGCATAAGTGTCTGCCTTGCAAGCAGGCAGTCATGAGTTCAATCCCCGGTACCAATAAAAAGGAAAAAGACCAAAAAAAGAAAATTACCACTGGATTGCAGACATAATCTTGAAATAAAGTGATAATTTTCTAAGAAAAGGATGTGTGAGTACTATTGTTTGGCCAGCAATTATTTCCTTCCTTAGATTTAGTTCTGTGTTTTCCTAGAGGTGGCACCTTGGACAGCTAAAAACAAGCCCTCTATTCCCCAACTTTCCCTATAGTGAGGTGGCCATATTTATACCATTTTATACCATATTTATACCAGAGAGAAGTGGAATTTTCAGGAAAACCTTCAAGAAAGAAAAGACCTGGCCAACTTGGGTCTTTGACCTTTGCCTTTCCTCCTTTCCTCCTGCTTTCTTCCTGAAACTCACGTGATCATGAGAACCAGAGGAATGGCATTGCATTCATTCATGAGGAAAAGACAAGAGAAATCTGAGAAATTTTGGCCCTCATAACTCGGAGCCACAAAATTTGGCAACTGCCAACTTCTAGATTCTGTTAC